TATATATATATATATATATATATATATATATATATATATATACTACTACATACATTAGAAGTAGTAGTAGTAGTAGTAGTATATTCATATATATATTAATATCATATATATTACTTTATATCTATCTATATATGTAAATATATGTATGTATATGTATATATAAATACACACACACATACACGGACACACACACACACACACACACACGCATATGTATATAATAACTAAGTAAAAATATTCATACCTCTCTCCAATAGATGGCAGAACCCATACCAAGCATGAGAGTGATGGTGTTAACAGTCATGATCACGGTGGCCACATTGTCCAGTACTACTTCCCAAACAGGCCTTGTAGTTTCCGTCATGTTAACTGTTAAATTCCATGGCAATACAGTGACGTCCGGCAGCTCTCCTCCATGTATCATTACAGTTCCGTCTTCCATCTGGAGGATGTGGATGCTAGTGATATTCCCTGGGTTGATTGGGAAACAGGGGATAGTAATAATATGTGCGTGTATAGTTATGATTTAATTCATGATTCATGTTATTTCTATTATCTGTTCTTAATAATGCTAAAGTGAAGTATCATATTTCAACATTTCCTTAGATGTATATTCTATGAAACCGTGAGATAAAAAAAAGTGGAAATACTTTACATAAAATATAGAAATTGCAGTCCATTACGCCTGTAAGATTCTATTTCAGATAGATAGATAGAGAGAGAGAGAAAGAGAGAGGGAGAGGGGGGGCAATCGAAAAGAAATAACTATAGATTCCTTTAAATATTTCTTGTTCTAAAATGGTAGCCGTGAATCTACTTTGAGTAGATTTGGTCATCATATCTTTATCACTAGCAGATTAAAACGGTATTAAGAATGTAAATTGTGAAATATTAAATTTCATTATACATAATTTAGGTATTCATATCGTCTGTGCTTATAAGGAATAATGATTCTCATAATGGTAACTTACTTAGAGCCTTTCCATATATTGAAATGCTATACTTACTGCACTGTTCTTAATGTACGTTCCGCGAGACCGTGCGATGAACTGACTTCTCGAACGTCTCGATAACTGATAACAAGATAATGAAATATACGGAGGGAAGAGCAGGAGAAGAGGTTATTGTACACCTGTTGTCAAACTGGAAACTGTTTATTTTCGTACTATTTGTTATCTCAAACCTGTCAAAGGTTTAGAGTCTTATTGTGCTAGCCGATGCTTGACAAAAATGTCCTGGAATTTAGGGATCAGAAACAATTAAAACAATTTACAATTTTTCATTCTGCCATTCTTCCGAACACCGTCACTTTTCCACCCCTCTACCACACCGCCACCCAGCCATCCTTCCACCACACCGTCACTCTGCCAACAGCGTGCCTATCCTATCCACTCACAGGCTTTCGGCATACAAATGAAACATTAATCGATTGGTGCAATCGGTTATTAACCGATTACTTTTCTTACGTAGTCAACAATCGCGATTGCGAAAATATGCTGGCGTCGCTCACCACGACTTCTTAAACACCCAAACCAACTCATTCTAGTTTTCACAAATAAGCCTGTGCTCAGTGAGAGAAACGGGATTTTTTTGTTAGTCCTCAAACACTGCTCACTTCAAAATTTCTAATAACACGGATTAATGGGATAACTGGGAGCAAGCTACTAATTATATATAGGCGATCGTGTGCTCTTCCTGTTTTCAAAAGGACGAGAACCCTTTTTGTGAACTAATTCGACAAATGCTACAAAGTAATTACATCTCACCTACAGCAAATTTCCTTCTTTTCAGCATTTCGAAAGCTAATGGATCAGTTTTCGAAGAAATAAGCTTTGGCATCTCCATCAGGCAATAATAGAAGGTTACGAGAGCAGAAATCGCAACAGGAATCCTTGAACACTGAAACTGCTGTGTTTTACTACACTGTGTGGTGCATGCAGCTTCCTTGTCCTCTTTTTTTTTATTCTTTGTCACCAAATTGCTAGTGCAGTGTTGACAAACCAGCTGTGACAATCGCCAACACGCAAGGGATGCCAAATGGTTAAAATTGCCTACAGCACCGAAGGCGTCTTCGTGCGATCTTTTTGCTGTCAAGCTGGACGGACGTATCGTTTGATCGTCACTCGAACGCTCAAGGTCATAAAACCAGCTTAACATATCAGCTGTTAAAGCTAACGACGACAAACTGCACGATCGAATCTGACTCAGGCACACCTGACCTGTGTAGAAGAGAGAATATCTTCATTTACTGCCAAACATGACAGTTACTATTTTAATATATCAAGTCTCATGATTTTAAAATGGGAAGAAATGGATTGCTCTACGGTTTACGTACGTCGTAAAATTTTCTGTTGTGTTAGAAGGTATATTTACTGTATACAAGTCAAACGAACTCAACCTTGCCTCAGATCTAAGCCCGTTTGAGTTTAACGTCACGTCACGATGTGAAAATAGTATAAAAGTATTTAAGTGATATACATTTCAAGATTTACATCACACTGGCAGAGTACCACTGCTACCAACGTAGAAAATATAGTGCCCATGGAAAACAGTCTGATGACGTCCGAGTGAGATTCCGGGAATCAAACGAACATTCTCATACATATCAAATTATTTCAAAGAAATATAAATTTGTAAAGGAGACGACTAAATTGTATATAACCATATTCTAGAATATTAGCTGGCGTTTACTATTTCATTTACCAATAATGATATTGTAGTAGCAGATCAAGACGAAAATCATAAAAGGGCCTTAAATTCGTATTCGTATTCGGGAGTTTTTTATATTAAGTAAGAGTATATATTGTTTTTGTGTGTATGTGTAAATGTTTGCTTCACTGATTACATTAATGAATCAATTCATATTACTACCTAGCCAATCTTACTTCTTGTCTTTCCTTTTAGCGAAGCATTTTGTCGCGCGCGCACACACATACAGATAAGTAGATATTTCCTCTACGTTTGCAAACATGAATAATTTTGCAGCAGAACATACGTCTCTTTCTGGGACCTCTTGCAAATAATCATAAAAAGTCGAAGAGCAGAATTCACAAAAAAATAAGAGAAAAAGAATCGAATAGAAAATATGATGTTCCCTTACACTGTCCAATGTGTGAAAAATTCTCAACGTTTTGCGCGATAAGAAAAATTATGATTAATAATAAATAACATTAGTAAATCGAGGACGAGCATTTCCTAAAATAGAAATGTAAAGAACTTCTCGTTCGCAGCTCTCACATTCAAGGATTTAATCAACAGAAAAATAATTTCTCGTGCGCTCTGATCAACTCATTAAACTAGTTCCACGTGGCAGAATCATAAGCCTAACATTCTACAAATAGGAGCACACACACACAGTTCTTACAATATTATGACTTACATCAACCATAAGCGTGACCTTTCACAAGATAAGTAGCCTGTTTATCAGAATAACGTCTTATCAGATACTTTAGACTTCTAAATCTTATTATGCGGTGCATCCCAAACAGCTGTGTGCAAAACGTCAATGACAATCTGCTCAATCTTCATTTTTCATGTGCAATACATTCTGCCTCTGGACTGGATGCAACTCTCAAAGTGTTAATTAATCCGTCTTCAAAAAAATTCAAAATTGACTGAAATAAAAAATAAGGTAACAATTTTCTCAAAACCTATATAGATCTTGGACAAAAGTAAACAAAAAAGATCCATTGTAAGAGACAAGGATACAGGGTAAAGTTGATGGTATATATCCATTTGGTCTTCAGGGGACATTATTGTTTGAAAAATTAAAAAACTCTTCATTATCACTATTCATAGCATTCAAATTATTACTGTTTTTATAATCTCCACCAAGGAGGTTTTTGTTAGGGTTGCTTAGTTAGTTTGGTGGTTGGTTGGTTAGCAGGATAACTCGAAAAGTTACGAACAATTTTTTTTTTTATCTTTTACCAGAGGTGTGTCTTAGCCCATCTTAGATGATAGTCTTCCGGATCATGATCTGTTTCCAGGATTTTTATGCCTTGTCAATAGGGTAACTATTATTTGCGTTGCCAGATAGGGACAGCTTTTTGGCGGTTGAATATTTATTATTATCCTATTGCCTTGGCGGATCTATGCATTCTATGGGTGCTTCCTGTTATCTTTATTATCATTATAATTATTTTGTAACGTAATCAATCATTTCATAAACATAACCCGTTCATCTGCCGGAAGTACGTCATGCATATTCAATCATGGCGACGCCTACACATTCAGTACATATTATGTCTGATAACTACAAGGGATGACAAATTTTGGTCAACAGTGCAATACAATATAAATCTAGTTATTATCAATTTAGTGGTTAATTATTGCTTTATCATTCACTTATCACTCTAGTCAATAGTCCATCGATGTATTTCTACGCTACTGAAGCAATACAAGAATCACAATACACTTGTACAGCATACGATCCTTGCCTCTACCTTTACCTGCTGCAGAGATGGGGACCTTTAAATATTTCTGGAACATCACTTAAAGTCTCTCGGCACCCGTGTGTGTGTGTGTGTGTGTGTGTGTGTGTGTGTGTGTGTG